AAGATATTATAAGATATTATATTTAACATTTATTATATCGTATAGTATACAATTATTAATTACCAATTAAAATTTTTTTTTTAAAGTAGCTTGTTTTAAATGCCACGCCAAGTTACTGCAACAAGCCGCGCAAATGAATTTCAGGAACATTTTTTTGAGGATCACGGACTTTTGATGTGCCGATTTTGTGACCTACCTGTTAATTTTAGTACAAAATCAACTATTACAACCCACATAGGCAGTACTAGACATGCTGCAAATAAAAAAGCAAAAGAACAGCGTGAAATAAGATTAAGACAACAAACATTACATACATCAATAGATGCGACGCAAAAAAAAAAGGATACGATTTTAGATTTGGTTGAGGCGTTTGTGAATGCCAACATACCATTAGAAAAGGTTGATAATTTACGTTCGTGGCTTAAGAAGAATCTTATTAATGGTGGATCTATTCCTTCGGCTGAAACATTAAGACAGAGTTACTTAAAGCCAGTATATGAAAAACATATCACGGCTATTAAATCAGAATTTTTCAATAAACCAGTTTCGTTTATTGTTGATGAAACGACGGATGATTGTGCCAGAAGCGTAATCAATATATTATTTAGCCATCAAAATGTAACTAAATTAGTTTTAGTGGACTTTCTTAACGATGTTAATAATACTACAGTAGGGCAAATTATCCTTCGAACTTTAATTGAATGGTCTATTCCATTTAATACTACTAGACTTTTTGTTTCAGACTCGGCATCATATATGAAAAAATGTTTTCAAAACATTTTGAAACCTGTAATGCCCCAAATTATTCATATGACATGCATAGCACATATCTTAAATCTAATCGGGTATGTTATTATAAGTTTTGCTACCTAATTCAAAGTAGTAATCAAAGTCGAACTGAATTTTTGGCCAAAATTTGGCCAAAAATTCAGTTCAATTGATTGTTACTTTGTTAAAATTTGTACAAACTATGTTTAATATTCATTTTAAATTTAATAATTTTAGAGAGGCATGGGTATCAATTGCACAATTCGATCTTGTTAAAGGTTTACTCGCTGATATTCAGCAGTCTGTTTCTAGATGTAAGAGTCGAAGAAGCCGTTATTTGGTATATTTACGTCGTCATGGTGTTGAAAACCCACAAAAGTTTCCTCTTTACAATAAAACTAGATGGAGCTCATGGTTCC